ATCGCATTTAATCCTGGATTGATCTGGTCGTCCACATTTAATTTAATTAAATATCCTGGTTCAAATTTGAAATGACAGGTCTTACTCTGGAAATCAATACAAAGCCCCTTGTGCTGTAGGAAAGGCATTCCTAAAATTATTTTGTATCGATTTGACTCAATGACTAAAAATTTCTCCCACCATGTAAATTTTCCAATTTTAATCCTTAAGTTGCATGCATTTATTACATTTATAGGAGTTTCATTTGCCGCCATTAAATGACTAGGTATGCTTTGTTTACATCTAATTGCATGTTTACTCTTCAATAATTGCTCGAGTAATTCTAAACTTAAAATGTTGTAGGAAGCACCACTATCAATTAATGCTGGGATAGTTACATTCTCATTGATAATCACATTTACACACGGCAAATTTGCTACAGTTCGGCCCTTTGTCGGCATACAATTCTTCCTATTTAAACTATTCCATTGTTTTGTTATTTTCCGGAACTCCTTCTTAAAATCCTTACTATGTTTAGTAAACTCATTATTGCGATTAACTGAGCAATAGGTTTGTTGATTGTTTTTATTGGCGGGAATATTTACCTTAAACTGGTGCTGTGACTTAATGGCAAATTTTCCCGCGTCTACTAGTTTTTTGAACCACGATAGCAATGCCGGGCTAAATGGCCTGGTCTGTTACAAATAAAACATCTCTTTACATCACTTGGTTGGCGACTGTGGAAGTTTGAGTGATGGTACACATTTTGCTCATTTACGTGATTTGCAGGCAATCCAACAGGCTGCGAAACAGGCATGGCCGCGGTTAATACCGGTCTCATAGGGACTACGTTGGCGCACGCTTTGTTGCGCAAATAATCATTATAGACCAAATTGTTCATTTGCACCACAATAAGTTTCAATTCATTCATTGTTTCGGGGAATTTATATACAGCTATCTTGTTGCGGGTGTCCGGGTTCAATCCATTTCTAATAGAGTCAAGCAATTGTTTCTCCGTTAGGTTTGCCATAAATACTTGGTTATTTAATTTAATTTCCTCGCAGTACAGTGATAAACTCTCATCGTAGCGTTGGGGACGATGAATATACTCATATTTTAATTGCTCTCCCAAAGCTGCTGGAATAAATGAATTTAATATTTCCCTGCGTGTTTGTATGATACTTTTCCCGCCGTTTTGGCATTCTATTATTGTTCCAATGAACAACCCCAAATTCCAATGAGTGAGCGGAGAAATAGCGTACCTGCTAATTATTCTAAATATCTGATCTTCGGGTAGGCGCGATTCCTGTTGTAAAATTACCGTCTGTCTCAGAAAGTTTAGTAACGGGGTTATCTCCATACCAGTACAATTCTCTGGAAATTTTGACAAAATTTTTTCCCATGGGTTTGCTAGTTTCTGGAACAAGTCTACCGGCGGCAGCGGTGCAGGAGCGGGACGAACAGAGTCCGCGGGGTGCGGGGGCGTACAGTGACCTTGAGGTGGGACGTGTGCCGTGTCGTGGTTCCCTAATCTCAGCTGATTACTAGGTGAAGAGATGATAAGCTGCCCGGTTGATACGCCGTTTATTTCCTCATCGGCTGACTCACTCTCGATTAACGATTTATTTAATTCTTCTTGAAAACGTCGGTATTCGTCCGGGGCGATTTTATTCTCGATTTCTGACAGTTTATTACTAAGACTAATCATGGTTTTGTCTAACTCTTCAACGGTTTTGCGGTCGGTTTCTAACAGTATACTTCGTTTTAGCATGTTTGCTCTTAGCTCTAAATGCGCTAGCTTTGCATTTATCTTAGCTAAATTCAGTGCCGTAGGCTCTTCAGACTGTCGATCGATTAGCACTTGCAATACGCTTGACGCAATTTGGCAATATTTAATCTCCGCCAAAACAGTCAATTTATTTTCAATGTTTGAAAAATTAGGTGCCTGCCCAATGATTTTACGCAAGGATTTTCTGAGTTCATCTACACTTAATTTATTTAAAACCTCATGTTGACAGTCTAGCTCTCTGCACATTATTTCATAAATCAACTCGCCCTTCTGAAGATAATTGACATTGTAGTTAGCCATCTTGATAATAGGATAAGTGCTGATAAAGGTGAGGAAAGGAAGGATTTAGTGAACCCTACCTATTAGTTTCAAAATTCGGATCAACACATTAGAATTCTTTAAGCTAATTTAAACTTTTTGTTTAGCACCTAGCTGTTCGATTTCACCGTTGTTTACTTGAACTATTTAAATTCAGCCTATTTAATAAACCGGTTTAAGATTGTAATGATAATATACCCTCAAAATCTTATTACAATATACTTATACCAACATGTCCTTTATCATCCCTTTATGAGTATTGTAATTTCAGTTCAACATAATAACTTAATCACACAACACCACACTGGATAGTTCATATAAGTTCAAATGATATTCTCGGAGTAGCCTAAATGACCTCGTTCAATGTCTTGGTTATCTTAAAGCTCAGGAAGTGTAGCAGAGTTGCGCAAATTAATTATATTCCAGGGTGGCCAATTGAATATAATAATGGTGTGAATTTAGATCCACTTCCTTTAGCTTGTGGATCTGCCAAGAGGGTCGCCAAGTTGACCCGTGAACAAGGGGAGTCGAATAATAACGACTCAGTGAATTACGGTTCAACAATTTATTAATTTTTAAACAAAATAACCCTTTACACATATGCTAGCCTTAATTGTTATTAGTACCCAAAATTATGAAATGGTACATTACTCAATACAGCAGGGGTGGGCTGGGCCATCTTAAGAATTAGCTGTACAAATTTTTACTCCCGTCTGCAAAACCATTAACACAAGCTTTAAATTAAAATAAAATTAAAATTACAAGACACCTGTTGGAAGAATTATAAAAGAGATAAAACATTGATTCGGATTTCTTATAAAGTGTTCAATACAAAAATCATTCATTGAGTTAAATTACATTAAATTGAATAAAAATTTACGTTTGACCAGAACCTAATATTAAAGTTATATAATTCTCATTTTAAATTTATATAGCTCTCAAAACTCTTTGTTGTTTTAATATTCAAGAAATTACAAACTCAAACAGGCTAACTGACCACACGTGGCAAACAAAATTTAACAGTTAATAAAGACTTGTACAAATTGGTTAATTATTTTTTTCAACTAAATTGTAGCACCTGAAAAAGCATTTTAAACATGAATATAAAAATCCTTAAACTAAATAAATGTAACACTTACATTATCACAGGAGCCATCCAAACTTGTAGCCAGCACCCCCACTAGTACAATGATATGATTTTAAAACCCAACGGACAGATAAGCACTGCCGACCTCGGCCACCGCAGGTGGCGCTAAGGGCGGGAAATTCAAATTAAATTAAAATAGGCTTTAAAATTTCACAACACACTATGTACTGGCATAGCATTCATTTCATAAAACTATTAACATTTTACAAAAAAACATTTTTTTACCCTCCCTGTTGCAGCAAACCTAAGTACTCGTTAAACTAATCTATATATTTAATACGCGACATGAAACTTTGTGAACAATAAGGCTTTTTTGTTTTAAGATTTAACCCCACATATTATATACCAAAATGTTCGTCTAGGTGTGTAGATGTGCAAACTGGCTTTAGATTTTCGAAATATATCTTTTTAAGGGCGTCGGCTGCTCTGAAAGTTCCTTCCATAAGGATAACATTGTGATTGATTTGAATGTTATTATGTTCAGAAACATATGTAAAAAAATTAGTTAAAAAAATTAATTCAAGCTGTTTTGTTTGGTTTTGAAATATAAACAGTTTGCATGTTTTTAAAAATAATTAGAAACCCGGCAAGGAAATGTTACCTATAGGACACGACGGGAGAAAAGTTTTACATTTTATTTTCCTTTAAACATGCCAAGGACCTGACGACAAAGAAATATTGTTGGTCGGACACGGCGAGTCAACATACGGCAAGCAATGCAAAACGTAAGGAAGCCAGACGAGGAGCTGGAACAGTTAGTGGCAACGTGTACTAACAAAATTACACTGACAAATACAAGAACTCAGCAGCATTCACTTGGCGAGATGGCATTAAAATGTGGTGTGCTACATTTTAAAGAAGAACAAAGAGGACGAGGCGAAGGATTTTCATCCTGCTGCCATAAAGGAAAAGTGAATCTACCACCATACCGAGAGAGCTATTATACCCAGAGCCTACTAAATGGAGCAAATCATTTGAGCAGAAACTACAACGAGAACATTAAACCGTACAACTCTGCGCTCGCAATGGTCAGCACTTGAGCTAAAATTAAAGAACATAACGGTGGAGGGCCTTTCATGTTTAAGGTGCACGACACAATTTATCACTCAATTGGCACCTTACAAACGTCAGAAGGGGAGCATCCCATATATGCCCAAATTTATTCCCTTAAATTTAACATTCTTGATGTTCTTTCCTTTTATATCTGCGATGTCGAAACCGCTGTTCAAGAAAGAATGCTAAACAAAGCTAATGGCTCTTGCAGCACTGAAAACATGGACATTTTGACTCAACATTTGGTTGATATTAATCCATACGCGCAAGTTTTCAGCATGATGAGCTCCGTTCTTCAAAATACTCCTGCTGAACAACAAAAAGAACTTAGAATGAATATAGCCAACGATCGAGCTCAAGACCATCGATGTATAATCAAGACCAACGTCGATGCAACTTCTAACGACGTTGCTATAATATCCTAATTTACCATTCTTGCGAATTCGCACGGGTTCACCTAGTGTTATTTAAATAGGGAATAAATGTGACATTTTTAAGGAGACATTTTAGTTTAAATCCAATCAGGCAAATGGAAATTCGCTTAGTCTGCAGGTTTGCTGCGGCGGGGGTATTTCAATTTCTAAGAGGTAGACTGAAAGGGTGGTTCAAAATGTGAATAGTCTTTTTCATGCAAACCGATGTGTGAAGAATAAGCTAACCATAGGGACTTTTAATAAAATATTCATTAGCTGATGCAATAATTGTTGTTTTCAGTCCGTCAGTGGACAGGTTGGCCAACCTATCGTTCAGTGTGACGGACGACGAGGAGCTGGAGAAACAGGCAGAGATGTTCCAACAGGTGTGTAGCAGACGACTACAGTTCCTGGACGGAGACAATGAGGACAATGAAGAGGACGTGTGGGCAGACACCAACAACGGGCCACCCAGGTGAGGGATATGTCAAAACCAACATCTATACAAATACATAAAATACAATCAAACCCTCTTTATAGCGGAGCTGTTGTGTTCAAGTTTCAACCATTGAAATTATGTTGAAATATGTGAAGCAAAGCAGCGGGCACATTATTAGAAGGGTGAATTGCAGTGCTATACAATCGATAATCCACTACCCTAGTAGTGACTGAGCACTATTCAAGTGCTGTGCATACACCTTTATCTAAGTTGTGTTTACTTAAGTGATAGGGTAGTTTGGTTTTTAAAATTCAAGCTAAGAATTTTGAGTGACAGCTTAAAGGTACATTTTGCTTGGATAGCAATGGTCACCAAGAGGCAGTCGTGTGCCACTGCTCTTGGTTTTCCATAGTCCTGTTTAGCTTGGAGCTACTGTCGCTAGAGCCGCGAGCTGGAGTCGCGGGGTACTGCTCCAGTTAGGAGCGACAGTAGCTCAGCGATAATTTCTTTTCTAATGGCATTTTCACTATGGTGTCATTATTTTAGTTAGTACAGGCTAATACAAGTTATTTTAATATACAGAGTGTTTTGAAACTCTCTCAAAAAACTCTGTGGGAATGTTCCTTAGGTAAAAACAAACCAAAAATAGCATAAACATATGCCCTATCTCACTTCGTTTTCCGTCTGTCAGTGTGTGTGTATGTATGTATTTTTTACATTACTTCTTATAACTTTGGAACCAGTTGAGGTCAGGTAACTACTTCAAACTTGATAAGTGATGTGACTAATAGTAACAATTTTCGCAAAGCATCAAGTTTCTACTTTGTATCATTTCAAAATGGTGGTTGTTTTTATTTTTCAAAGATTAATAACTCAAAAACCATAGGATTTATAAAACTTAACAAATGACAAAAAGGATAGAAATTAATTCTCTTCACAGAAATGCACAATTTGTAAAGAGTAATAACACAAATAACGGAGAAAATTTAATTTTTTCAAAGGATTTGTATTTTTTTAATTGACAATACAATCAACAGAATACAATTTTTACTCTGTGAGAAGGTCGTTTATAACACTGAATTACAATTCATATGATGCTTGTGTAATGCAATTTTAAGGTGGCAGGAATCAGTTGTAGCTTCAAGCAAAACAGTCTAATACCCCACGACTGCCGCTCGGTGACCATCGCTGAGCGACTCAGTCGCACCTGTCGCTCCAAGCAAAACATACCTTAAGTCTTTTTTACTTTCATGGTCTTCCTAACTCATGGAAATTCCCTACCAGTTTACTAGTGTAATTTTTGCCACATAGTTTGACTCTGATAATATGTTGTGACAGGGTGTGGAACGGAGGTGAGGAGATTGCCAACTACAACAGTTCGGATGATGAGGAGAGACCTGGTCCAGAGGGGAGGGAAGAGGCTCACATGGATATAGACACAGCTGACCGTGAGTGTTACTGGCAAAGAATAATCTATATATTAATAGGCAAGCATGTTTCTTGAAAAGCTTTTTTCTCAGCTTGTATGCATCGCAGGGAAAATCTACACATACTGTTAGAAATCTATTTTCCCTTAGATATGTGCAGAATCCCTTTATAAATTAAAATAGGCTCAAAAATATCACATGTTTTATTTACAGCGTGGTGTGAAAATAGAGAAGTCTGTAGGCTTCATTACTTATTCTTCGTTGAATGTTGATCACTGAATGACCTCTAATATCTCAACTTTTAGTTTTACTTAAATTTTCAGGTCTGTTTTGTTGTTTTTGAATAATTATTATGCTATTGTGAATCTACAACTAAAATTGTTTAGAAATGTGAAAAAGTTAAATTAAAGTTAAATAATTTGTCAATTATCTTTAGGCCTTATACTCTCTCTTAAAACCATCTTTTACCACAGTAGTACTGAACAGGTTACCCTGATTTTTAACGGTCTCAAACTTTATCATTTTCCATTTTTTATTTTTTCATTTTATCATTTTTACTGAAAATTTTGTGTCTGGTCCAGCACCCTACTCTTATCAAGTTTTAAGAAGAGATTGTCAATTTTTAATCAAACTGAACCAAGCAATTAATTTTAAAATTAAAAAAAGCTATACAAAAATGTCCCTGTATTAATTGCTAGAAATCAATATAACTATACTCCGCGCCAAAGCTGGTGGCGGCTGAGGGATTAGGACGGCCAGGTCGGTGAGCATGTCCGACCTATGTAGTCCTACCTGGCGGTCCTAATCCCTCAGCCGCCACCAGCTTTGGCGCGGAGTATAGTACCTATCCATATTTGTTGCTGACTCAAACTATGTCTTGTGATTGTCCAGCTTGGGCCAGTTTAGCCAGTGCTGTCTCACTGCCAGTGGAAGGTCCTGCCAACCCCTGGGGCGACGGCGAGTCTACCCCTGCCGAAGAAGTAGGCTGGGCAAATTTTGACACCAACTTCAGTGCCACTTTTGACAGCAACTCAACTTCAACACAAGCTGTTGAACAAGTGGCCTCCTCCAACGAGCTTAGCAGTGTGATGGGTCAGTTGAGTTTGATTTTGAATATAATTTGAACAATTAACCAGTGATCCTTTGAACGTTTATTTATTGTAAAATAATTTTCTGTATACTTGACAAGGGTTGTCTGTAAATTAAGGCCTAGTTCACATCACAAACAAGTGAGCTGGCTCAGATCTTATTGGTCAGTATGGGCCATAAAAAACTTGTGAGTGTTCTTTGACTTTAAAAAATCTATGCAAAGAACTACATTTTGTATTTTTTTTTTTTAATTTGTATATAATTATTGATTATTATTATATATTTTAACCCCAAGTATATTTTTAACTTAACCAGAGTTTAAAAACATAATTACAAAACAAATCAACAAGATTGATTTATACTTAACCTGCCAGAATAAACGGTTTCTTGAAATAGCTAATATGGAACATAACAGGTACATCTAGCTGTGTGCAAAAGTTATTGAAAAGGTAATAGGTGGAGGATTGTCGATACCAAAATTGATCGATTCTTAATACCAATGTCTAAAAAGTAAATTCTCAATACGCAACATTTTCAATACAGATTCTAACACCGGTCATGCCCTTACATAAAGTAATTTTGGGGTGTTTTTGAAGTGAGTTAAGTCAGCAATGAAAAATTGTAACCAGCCAATCCAAATCCAAACCCTTCTAAACCCATACATAATTGTATGTCTTAAGGTAAATAGAGATTTTATATAACAAGTATGAAAAAAATGTTATTGGAACTGGGAGTGTGCCCGCCTAAGATTTTCGATCAAGCCGAGCTCAGGATAATATCGAGATCCAAGTCCTGTGGTCGTGGAGACATCTTCATTGTCTTCCACAATGGCTGACAAATATTGTTCCTCAATCATGGAAACATTAATTATGATATCCACGATTGTGGCAAAATTCTGGTCATCTCTGACAGACAAAACCATAAATATCTCCCGCAGCCTCAGGATGAATATCTTCCACGATTGCAGCAAAATCATGATCCGCGATCGCTGCAAAATCCCGAATATCTTCCTCAGTCACGGAAATGTCATCATTTTTGTGGTTTAATGAATCTGTATTGAGAATCAATGTATCCATATCAGGCAAAGCAAATAAAAAATTTCTTGTAAAATCAGTTGTTCTTGTTGCAGTTGTTTCTGCTGAAAGCAGGAGTGAACCTCTAGGTGCAAGCTCAACAGAGGAGAGTGAGCCTGATAAAAAGTAAGGGCAACTACTATTAACTGAGTGTTCTTTTATTTTTTCAAACAGCGTACCTATCTGATCGTGAAAACCTTCAAACTATGAATGAACCATGACATTTTCAACTATGAGAAAACATGAAACCATTGAGCTGTGAATTTTACAAATGTTTGCCTTGTGAATTTCTTCAACTAAGGATTAGGATGTTCTAAATTCTCAAAACTTTCAGTACTGGTAGTACCATTGGTATCAAGGAATTGTAATCTTGATATTTCATGCCTTTTCTTTTGATACACTATTCATTCATTAAAAAAATTCCTGCAATTGCAGCCAAATTGTGGTTTAGACCAAGAGGAGTTTGTACTTATCTTTACCGTATGTGAGATGAAAAAAAGTTTAAAAAATTAAATTTATCTCTGCGTGTAGGAAATTTAAATTAAAAATCCTTTATTAGCTACAAACATTGTATCAAAGTGTTCAAATCTTTGGTTCTAGAGGATCCTTTAAACGTCACTTAAAGCATTTAAAACGTTAAGCACGTAAAAATTTTGAACATAAAACTTAAAGCAATATAATAAAATCATAAAACAAAAAAACATATTTAATGTTGTTTATTTAAATGTTAAAAAATTAATTTTCCTACAGTCACCTGACAAAGTGGCCTTCCTTGCACTTATTCTTGAAAGTTCCATTGTACTTTGTTCATGCAGTTTATTCTTTCCCTTTTTATCTGAAATTAGTCAGATTATGGACATTTCGACATTTCCAAACAAAGCTCTACTAACTTTTGATTCTTAATCTGAGGTTGTTGGCTTGCCTTCTACTTTTTGGTGGATTATAGTGTGATTCTGTTTTGTCGGATCCCATTTGCAAGTATGTATTGGAATTTCAACAAACATTGTGTTTACAGAGATGACAATGCCAACGTGAGCCTTAGTGCTGGTGACTCAAAATCGATAGATAAAGAACAACTTATTGATAACTTTAGGTGAGTAGTATTAATTTTTGGCTTTTAACAGTTTAATTCATTTGTTGGTTTGAATGAAATAATGATCCATTACATTGATTACATTGATTGAGTTTTAAATATTGTTTGAATTTGAATGTTGAATGAATCTCTTGATGAGGATGTAGTTACTTGATGGTCATCAAAGTTGTGTTAGGTGCAAGAGCCTTTTAATTTTTAGGTAAATTAAGCTATATACTGGGTAAAACCAAACTCTTGAGCTCTCTGCCAGAGTCAAACCAATGATGTGGTAGGACCATATTAAAATAATAATTTGTTGAAAATTTAATATTTTCCCAAATTTTATAAAAAATTATTTAGGATAATACCTGATTTTATTAAATTTAAATTATTAAAACAACATCACGAACTCGTATGATACTTGATTGGCTACAAATTCTCAATACTTCTCAATGAATTGTAATAATAATAATGAACAGAACTTTTTTGGAACTCTCCACTTGTTTCAATCATCTTTGGGGGGTTGAGTATGCACTGAATCTGTTGAAGGCATCTTGGAGATGACCAAGACCGATGTGGCCTACACAGCAGGTGCACAATTTAGAGGGAAGGGGATGTAGAAATAACTGACTGATCCAGGTATGTAAAATATAGACCGCCTCTAGATGTAGCAGAGACTTGAAATTTGGCACAGTTGTTGTTCTTGGGCCCAAAGCCACAGAAAAATTCTAAAATGGGTAATTTCATAAAATGCTTAATGCACTATTGATTTATATAACAAATACGTGGTTTTGACACATAAAATTTGTCAAACAGTATATTTATTTTTACTGTTATAAAATGTCATTTAGAGCGCGTTTTTTTTTTCTGGTTCACGAGATATGAGCGGTGTTGTAGAACGCGCCCCCGCGTGACTTCCCCCCCCCAAATTGTGCACCTGCTGGTAGGGCAACAACATTTGTTTTGGTCATCTCCAAGATGCCCTCAACAACAATCGGAGGTCAAAATGAGGAACACTTTTAGTGCATATGCTTTCAGCCCCCCAGAGGATGCTGGACAACAAAGTAAGTTCCAGTTGTTAAAAAATGATTACTAGCACAAGTAATAATCAATGTAGGTTATTGACCTTGAGATGCTTATATTGTGGTTCTAGGTTCCTTTCCAGTCAGGGTCTTATAGCTGATAAACCGGAGTCTTCTCCTTCAACAGAGCTTTATCCTTCAACGGAGCTTTCTCCTTCAACGTCCACAACTGAGGACGTCACCTCAAACCCCTGTGATAGGTATGTCAAGTTAAACTCAAGTTTCCTTGAGAAAAACAGGAACTTTTAGTATTAAACATCTAAGCTAAACATTCTATTTTTCAATCAAATATGCATATTATTCAACTAATTACATAACATGCTGTATTATGTAGCAGTCAATATGATCCTAGTAATAAATAAATAGCTAATCTAATGGGAAACATAAAAAATATTCAAGACGAGCTCTAAAGCAATGTGAACTATTTGAAAATAGTGACACTCTATATTTTGTATCAAAAATTTAGCTATACTCAGATTGAATTTAATGTGCGGTTGAAGGACAAATTAGTTTTCCCTGATTTTTCCCTGGCCCCCGCCACCACCACATATTAGCCTACAGCTGATTCTTAGGCCTGGCGCACACGGTCGATTTTTCGATCGGCTGATTAAAAAATCGGCCAAAAATAAATCGCCTTTGATTTATGTCTAGGCGCACACGTGGCGATTTTTTAGTCGAGAAATGGATTTTTTGAGTGCGTTTAAAATGGTTTGTTGAATTAACCTGTGTTTGTGCTCTTCTAACTAGACCAAAGAAAAAAAGAAGACAACTTAAATATTGGGTTCATCCGATAGTAAGTCAGATACTTTTAAATCGACAGTTTTAGAAACTATAGGTACACTTTACGTGATGACAGTAAAATGTTATTTGATTACTATAGAATGTCTGTTGAAAGTTTCAGTTTTTATTATAACAGCTGTGGCCTTTTTTTAGCAAAGAAAACAACACAACTCACACTGAAGTTCACTGACTCCTGTGGAGAACAACAAGCGACTGGCCGATTTTTTAGTCGACCGTGTGCGCGGACTGATAACAACCTGTACGTTACAGATTTCCGGGCGACAATCGCCTCGCCTACGAATCTGTGGCAAAACCCAGATTTTAAAATCGGCGCAATTCTCGATCGCCTGTGTGCGCGCTTCCATTCAAATAGGTACATGATGCACAGATCGGCCGATGAAATAGTCGCCTCAAAATAATCGCTCGTGTGCGCCTAGCCTTACTGTTCATAATTTTAGAACAGGTGTCACTTTGTTTACATGTAGTGGCTTAATTAACATTGTCATTATTCTGATGGTATTTCGTGCAGTTTGATGCTATTAAGTCTGAGTTTACTTTATTACAGGGTCTAGTAGTCGGGGGAAAGCCCGGAAATTCGGGCATTAGTATTGAATTTCAAAATGGTCTTGAAAAGTCGGGATTTGGTCTTTATTTTGATATATAAGTAGGGAATTTTCATGATTTCCCGGACAACGACGATGATGTTTCTGTGGCCGCGGGAGTCAATGATGATGTCTACTTGGTCGTGGAAGATTTTCATCATCCAAAAAATCCAAATTGGCCAGTTAAAATTGTTCATTCATTTCATGCTGCATTTTTTTTTAAAAAACACCCTTTTATCTTAATAATACTTTATGACATAATGTAGAATTCGAAAATTTGGTTAAATTATACAAATTGGTATCTGTATCAAGAATTGAGAATTGATAGATTTTGGTATCAACTCATCACTAATTGTTGAAAAAACTAGTCATGAAAAGTCAGGAATTAGCCTTGAAAAGTCTTTAATTAGTCATGAATTTTTAAATGAAAATAAACTAAACACCCTGTGATTAGTGGTGATTAGAAATGGTCAAAAGGTGCCAAGATATTATAATCCAAACTAAAACACAATTTTAGTATGTGCAATTATTTGAAAACGCATCTTTTTTAATTATAAAAAAAAATCTTCTAGTTTTATTTTATCAAAATAAACAAATGCTTTTTTAAAAACCACTGTCTGCAATATAAAACAGACGACTTTTATGTGGAATCCAGTGTACAAAAGGGTAAATGGGTGGGAGATTTCCCATGATAGAAAAATCATATGTTGAATTCCAACCGCACAATTAATTTAGACAGACTATAGTCAAAGTCAGGTGGAACATTAGCTCTTGGTTTAATTCAAATCATTGTTTTGATTGAAATATGTACTGAGGTTCTTTGTGGTTTTATTGCAATGGTGTAGGCCCTATTGCTGCTATTTTAATTTTTTTGTGTATTCATTTTTTTAATTTTGACGAACCTGTGAAAGTTGAAGATTTTCCCTGATGATTATAATTAAGTGAATGCTCTAGTTACTATGTGAGACTGTGATTTCTGAGGCTTTGCTTTTCACAGTTCTGCAGGTCAGGACGTTTCTGAGGACGTAGCAGACAGCCCCGCGCCCCCCGCCTCTGCAGTGGAGCCTGTTTGATACCCCCCACCACAACCCCACCTGGCATATCAACGTGTCTTGTTCTGTAAACTGTCGCGGACAGTTTGTCACTTGTGTATAATATTTTTATTGTTCTATACAGGAAATATGGAAAGTCGATCGATTGTTACGAAGCGATATATTTGTTACCGAATAGAGATTTACATTTGGTTATGTATAAAAGTGTAATAAATTGTTTTTATTGAAGAGCTTCTGTACAGATAGGACTGGATTTATAGATCACAAACTGTGCTCAAAACACTTGTTTTTTACCTCCATTCCCTTCCAGTTCCCACTTTTCCTTGTTGCATGGTTATTGTATATTTTTATGCTCCCTGCAAAGCGCTACATTGTTTATTTTTAAACAGGCAAACAAGTAAAGAGGTTATCACTTACGGTAGTTTGTTTTGATTTACCCTCAGTTCATTTGTGAAGAATTAGTTTTGTGGATTGTGACTGTGTTCATTGAAGTTGTTTACAAATTTACTGCCTTGAACAAATGGAAGCGTCCTCTGCCACTGTACAAGGCAACCTGTGTAGTACCATATCAGTACTATGTGCAAAAGTACTTAAGCATATGAGTGCTTGCATCGATTAATATTGAATGTAAATCCGTCCCTACTACTTCAAAAATATCTTGAGTAGTAAAAAATGTACAGTTCAGACTATTGTACTTTAAGCCAAATCAAACATTTGCTTGGTTGAAATATAGCAGTAATTACTAATATATCAAAGCTCTATACCATCAAGTATGGTTTTGTTTGAAATTTACCAGTTAGATATTAATCTGAAGTATGAAACTTCAGTTGCTGGATTATAATTTAGTTTCCAAGCTTTTAAATAAGAAGGGTTTATTTAAGGGATTTAACCCTTTGAGCACTTGCTCAATAACAACAATGGACCTGAAATATCCTTCAATCTGAGATTTAAGTTTAGAACTATTGTACTTGGGCAGGTTGATTAGTGTTGTTAGTGTAGTAGATAGCTCTTATCTGTGGTAGAACTTGGTGGAGAGAGGTGAACCAGAAATAAAGAGTAAAGGCTCTGAAGCTAACAGGATGGACAGATTCTTTGTGAGTTACACCTCTAATCAGTTATTTTGCTAATATTTCTGCATGCATACTGTGTATGTTTTTGCCACAGACAAGTAAACAAAAGAGGAAACTTGCTTATAAAATTACCGTCAACCATGCGCTAACAGCTCTAGTATGTTGTGCCAGAAATATACTCTTGACGAGCACTGAGTGGGAATTCCTATCACACAGGGTCCTTGCTCTACCGTAAGTCCGTGAGCGTTGTAGTAGAGGACAGTGTTGGACTTTGCCCTAGACTCCAACCACTAGACACCACTCATTAAATAGTTCCTCTGTACCTTAATTCCCTGTGGTCCATGCTACTCAAATTGGTTGTAAATTTTATGACATTTTTGTAATAAAGTAAACCATTAAGTAAGAGGGAGAATAAAAAAAAGTCCCTTGTATCACACCTGCCAAGTGTAGTCCGGTTAAAAAGTGTCCTCATAAGAGGGAGTCTCCTGTAGCTAGCTTGTAGCAATTTCATGGTGATCATAGGATTAGACATGTTCTGAATAAGTTCATTTTTATTTAATGGTTTCGTAATGTACGCCTATTTGAATTTCCTTTCACATTTACTATGATTTCATATTTTTTAAATGTTTTCCTTAATCATATTAAATCTACGCTTTTCTAAGTTATATTTGACCACGCCGTATTCTGAAACGATTGATCCTCAGCCCAATCATAGTAATTTTATATCTTTTTATAGTATGCTGCGCGCCAATTATAAAGTAGTTGTGTTATCATGGCGGCCGTGGCAGTGAGTCAGGCCACGTGACCGGAAGGAAGTTGCCGTGACTACGTCAGACAGACAGGCGAGGCGAGGGCGTACAAGTCAATGTGGCGTGTGGCGCGCCTGACTATGGCTCATTATAGGCTGGCGCATGGCGCCTCGACTTGACATTGCCGCTTTAGAACTTCCTACAAACTCGGTTAGAACTTGTATGATGAGGCTTGAAAACATCTTAATTTTTTACGCAGTTAGTTTCACGAAAGATTCGTTAGCCAAGGTTCGATCAATTAATGTTTTGCAAGCTAAAATAAAAGTTAACATGCCCCTTGCCCCTATCATAATGACACAACAGGTAATTAGTAAGTAGATGATCCGTATACACCCTTACACCTCATACATCGATAATCTACTTATTCGCACCATAGAATGTTTATTTAAAATAACTTATTATCTATGCTTGCACTCTTCAACACAATTGATCTATCTATAGGTTTCTGTTTTTATCTCTTAGTTCCGAAGCAAGTTTACTACTCTCAATCTTGAACTTAACTTAGGCGACGGAATCCACCCTGATTGAGCTCCCGGAACAAATTTAGTCTGTTCCGGCACCAAGAAACAATGGATCAGCGGTGGCGGCGGCAGTTAGCTAAATTAATGAGGCGGCATTACAACATTAAGGCATTACACCGACATGAATATGTATGCGGTGTCGTCTGCAAGATTATGACATAACTTATTCTCTTATTCTCCTGCTTCTCATTTGCTAATGGGGCTCTAAATCAAGCGTTCCATGTACTGTACGCTTAATCGCAAGTCGGTTAACGACTTTAGTTGGGCTTTGTGACACTGGTGAAGTTATAATATATTCTAACGAAGGCGAAAACGATTCTGTGTGAGATGTGGGGATATGAAAATAGTAATTCTAGAAAACTAATAAAAACTTAAAAAATCAGAGTGAGGTATAAAGAAGGCAGATAAAACTTAATGAAAATGTATTAAATTACAATTCAGACAGTGGCCGGTGTAAGCACAGCTTTAACCTTTGAGTATCCAATCAAGTCAATGCTTTAACATAACAGACTTATTTCTCAATTTTATTTACCGAAGGAAGAATGGTCTTATGTGATCGTTGGGGAGAACCATAAGTTAATTTACCTAGAAATTTTTATTGTTGTACCTGAAATATACTAGTTAATAGTTTGTTCAATAATAGGCCTACATGATACGTTGACTAGTACATTTGATTTTTTTGTATGAGGTTAAAAGCTACAATAAGCCATGGAAATGATTGCCAAGAGGATCTCGTGATTAAAGGGATCTGGATTTGACGGTGAATGAGGTATACTACTAGTAAGCTGCTATTGGTGACTTTCAAACTTACGGAATAAACCTTGCCCTCTCTATAAAGAGGTGTACGGTCTCAAAAGAAGTTATGCTCATTGTTATAATTGTAAAATTAGTTAAAGGCTAAAGGTTCATTGGTGAAGATGGTTAGAAAAGCGAAAGGAAATATGACTAGTTATAGGAAATTATAACATATTTGGAATTATAAGGTTTTTTATTTCAACCGACTCTACAAACACTTATACAATATTTTTACAACGCCAAGGCGACAATGATAACAGATGTTTATTTCTGGTCAAAACCATTCTTAACTCTTTTTGGAAATATCTCAGGTTCAAACCAAAGTCATACCTGAAATAGCATATTTTTTAACAAGAGTAGAAAGTGAGTCACATATTTGAGACCATGTTTGAAGTGCGAGCACTTTAAATGGCCGAGAATATGTATAGACCCACTTTTACTAGTGTTTTGAACGTTACTTTTCGCTACACTACAAAGAATAATAATTTTCTTTATTACCAAACTCATAGAATTTTTTAGGTTATGCCTTCAATTTTAAGTTAATATTTACTTTAGTTGTTGAAAAATTTTAACAGTTGATAAAACAATAACAAATATTAGAAGTTGTTGGTTGACAGTGAAAATTTTTCGGTTGTAAATAATGTTGCTTTCGGTAGTAAACAATAGACAGCTGTTGAAAATATGATGTTTCGCAGGTTGTAAACCCAACGAAAACAGCTCAACTCATAGTAGTGTAGTGAAAATAATGTTTAGAACTGACAGTGACCAGAAATAAAAATTACAATACATTTATTCGGAGGTACTAGTATACATAATATGATACAGTGTCTTGTAGATACAAGACATAGTTTATTGCAACATGGCAATGGTTTGGAACAGCCAATTCACAATGTCAACAACTTTGGTGGTCTTAGAATTAACAAAAATGTATTTCAACAAACCGGTTGAACAAAAAACTTCACAGAACAATATGCGGCCTCTGATTATTTAGACATATACAGAATTTTATACTCAGGTGATGATATTGTATACACAAATAAATCGTATTCGACTACAAAGAAAAAATCTTCCGAAGCCACTTTAAAATTACAATTTTTTCACATCCTCTCAGGGATATAATTTTAGTAGGCCTTTTACTAGTATCGACAAATTCATAAACCTTTTGCTTTGTTAAGGCTTTCCAAAAGTGACAACGTTATAAATTGGCATTTAAAATTACAATCCTAAAATATTTGTTTAGTTATTCCCGTCGGTATTACACTATATTGGTATGTCTGACTAGTTAACAAAGCTTATTTGATTGTAACTCATTGCACGAAACAAATCGAATAATGGTAACAATAACTTAATTAATAAACAGTTAACAAAATAGAGAAATATAGATACAAACTATTTATACAAAATGAAACAACTGACTAGACATTCAGACTTTATGTTGCTCACTTCAGGATTCGAGTGTCTTTGCAAAAAATAACTTTACAAACAATTATATACAGCTTGAGTAATTCCCACAGTTATATAGTACACGATGACGATTCAGTAACCTGATGAAGTATACGTAATTACAATATTACAACAGTTTTCAGTAAGAAAATATCTTTTCCCACGTAAAAATGTCCTTTTCACAAATCCACTGTCTCGAGGTACACAATAAGATAAATCCACACCTGAGAAATCGTGTTTAAAAAGTCCAGTGCGGCTTGGCTTTGGTTAATTCATTATAAAGGAATGTTTAAGGATGTCATCTTTGGTCTTAAGCAAATTATCTTAAATAAAATCCTTACAGGGGTTTTTACGAGTTTTATAATTACTTAGATAAGCTAGACTTTGGAGTAGACATCCACGTATTATGTATATGTATACTACGCCAAGACAACGGACAACTCCGCCAGCTTTAGAATGAAATTGGACGTTCAGATGGTTCCTATTTTAAACCAACAAAAGTGAAAGGAAAACTATCGACAAGTAAGTGTCAAAAACTAAGACAGGACATACAATTTGGCCAGTGTTTCGAGTGGCTCACTATGTTCTATTTGATTGACAAATTCATCACAGCTGGTCTTATAGAAAGAATGTTAAAAATATTATTCAAAGGTTAATCATAATTTACAATTTACTGTAAAACTTACAGTAGTTAAGAAAATATAAGATACAGAAACGCACTCATTATTTCTGGAGGTAACATCACTAAAATATGCTAAAATTGAACAACATAATATAATATGATTTCTGAAGTCATTTGATTTACAGCACGTTTTTAAATGCGAAGGTGAACTATGTCTTAAGCTTTACCACTCGTCGAGGAAGTTACAACCATAGATAAATAAGACATTGGTCGAAAAAAAAACACCAAAAACAAAAACCGCACTTGACTATCTTAACTTTGTTCCAGGTCAATATTCCCTCAGCATGAGTCCAACAGTAGTAGTTATTTAGAAAATAATAATCTTTAATAGTTTTTATACAGAATGTTTTTTGTTCGTTTTATGTTTTTTCATATATTAAAATAAGAAACACTAATTTTAGCCCAATTATCAGATCTCTGCAGAAAGCCAAAATTCAATTTAAACATGGAACAGAGCATCGAGAAAGAATACACAAACAGTTAAGAACATCAGACATGAAAAAGAAAATTCTGACAATTTCGCTAACACATTCTTAACCGTTTGTGTTTGGTGTGGATTGTACCTGCGTACTCACGACGTGACATCTAGTCCATCACAGTCGGGGGCTACACGATGGGGAGGGAGTGGTAGTGTGGTCATGCGTAATGTGGGTAGGAAGGGAGATGGGAGCCTACGTGAGAGGGGTGGTGAGACATGGAGCTGCCGGCGATGTTGCTGTAGAGGTTGGCTCCGGGGCTGGTCCAGTAGGAGGTCGGAGAGGGGAACGTTATTGCTGAAACAAACAGATTGTCGTGAGTCACAAACAGTGTTACAAAATAATTCCTTTCAGGGGCGACTCAGGGGAAAGACGTCCGCTGAAGGTGGCAGCCCTGCAGACTTCTCTCTACATTTCATAACACACAAGAAGCTTAACTTGTAAAGGTAATATAATACAACATTTTTACTTTCTCTCCCTATACCATAGTATATGGAGATAGTATTGTTTTCGTCAAAATTTTCGACATTAAGTGTCCCTTGTGTATTTAATGTACCAACGATCCTGTAGAGGACCTCTTTGCAACTCACAATGTCCAACTTTGCACTACTATATAATAGGATGTAAAATTGTACTATAACACCCAACAAACCATTATTCGCTATTGAATCACGCAGTCCTAAATCACACAGATTTCCTACGAATATCCGATAACCCTGTATGAGAGGACGGAAGTGACAGCACAATAGAATCATGCAGAACGTGGTGGAAGAATATACATAATGCTGAGTAAAAATTGGGTGAATGATGAATGATTGGGGAGTGAGGAGAGCCACTTGAGAGGATCGTAGAAGTTTGTCAACAAAGTGAGAGTTGCAACTGACGTTGACACACTTGTGAATCGCGACCTATCAGAGCCAAACTGGGCAAACATCGTCCTTGTCATTCAACAGAGCAGCGACGCGTTGAGCTACGCGCCAACTAAACGCACATAAATAGTCAACGTCTACTACTGATTGACACTAGTGTTTGCTACAAAATATTAGCTAGGTGAAATATATTTCTCGCCTATCATTTAGGTTTAGAAGGTCACCAGTTCTATTCTGAGAATTTGAGTTTTTGATGGGTAAAAACTTGACAGTCATTGGGCTTGTAATAATAGGGGCAGACTAAACAGTTGAGCTTATTTAGATAATAAGACGGATAGATAATTTCACTTAATTCTATGTAATATCAGCTTATAATACGTACAAGTAAAATGTTAGTGGAACAAGTAAAAACGAAGAAGAACTTAAAGTTGTGGTTACAAAACACACAGACCACGCTTATAACGTAAGCTTAAATCAATGAAGGCAAAGCCAAGATAATGGAGTGTGGAAGAGCTACCCAATTAAATAATAAAAATCATGTGGAAATAGAAGGACACACATTTTATGAAGTAAACCATTTCTCTTAGCTAGGAGTAATTCTGACGAATAATAATGAAGAAGACTCTGAAATTCAACAACATTAAATGCAGCACATAAAAGTTTATCGGCATGCCACAAATTGTTAAGTTCTCGCCTACTTTCACATTAAGATAAAACTAAAATCCGTATTTACAAAATTATAATAAGAACAGTCTTAATATATGGCTCAGAGAATCGGCTGCTAAGCAAGAGAACAGAAAAACTACTTATAGTGTTCGAAAACAAGATTCTAAGAAAAATATTTGGACCAACCTTTGAAAATGGATAATGGAGAGTATAACACAACAGGGAGTTGAGAGAGTTGTACGTACAGGGACTCGGATATTGATATTGGATCGGATATCGGCTGATGTGAGAATTAGAAGATTGAGGTGGGCAGGTCATATTTATAGAAAGGAAGAGGGCTCATGAGTGAAAACACCCTAATTAACAACCCTGAAGGCAGAGGACCTCCTGGAAGGCCCAAGTTGAGGTGGAGAGATCAAGTGGGAAGAGACCTGAGAAGAATGGGAAGAAGAGAGGATGAAGAAATACATCGTGGAATCTTCCTTGGGTACCAAGAGCCACGCAGTAAGTAAGTATAGTATAACCCTAATATACATGTTTTATAACCGCATTACACACAGGTTAAATTAATGCTATTTGCAATTACATTTCCATCCATGTCACACTGACACAGTTACTCGTAGTTGTACTAGCAAGATTTTACATAACCTTGAATACTTGTGACATATTTGCAGTTCTGCTCTAGTCTTCACCCTCGGACTCGGACTGTTGTTCATTACACAAGACGATAATGCTTTTGACCGTCGTCGTCCCTGTACAAACATGGGGACTTGGGGTGTCCGAGCCACTGTCCCTCTATGTGTGTGCGTGGGGGGGAGTAGACCTTGGGGCTTGTCTTGCAGATTGATGGAATAATGACCTAAATGTAGGGTCTACCGGCACTTTTATGTTATGCCGTGAAGTAATTGTTGTAATGTAACAAAATATTTGTTTAGAATGCGTTTGTTTAGCAAATAAAAAAATATATACTGTGAGAAAAGGATGGTGATCATAATTTACATTTTTAATTAGACTGTTTATAGTCATCCCGGAGGCCAATTTATTCTTACTCACTGACTCATATCAGTCTTTCCTACCGAAGTCGACCCTAGTTCGCTCAAACTTCATGGTACTACGAGTCAAACAATTCAAAGCCACTCATATTAATGCACAGTCACTTTGTAAACATATTGATGAAGTCAGAGCAATTTTTCAATCGCAAAATTTTGAAATTGTAGCTGTTTCAGAAACCTGGTTAAAGCCGAGTATTTCATCCGGGATTGTTGCAATGTCTGGTTATTCTATCTTTAGGAATGATCGGCTTAACAAGACTGGTGGTGGAGTAGCTGTCTATGTTAAGGACGGTTTGAATGCCAGACAATTGTATGCATCTCCGGGTGAGTACTCGGCTAAACCCGAGTTCATGTTTTTAGAAATTTGTTTGTCTGGCTCAGATGCTCTTCTCATGGGGGCATGTTACCGCCCTCCAGGCGTGGGGCATCTGGCAGATTTTGAAGACATTCTCTTGCGCCTCATGCCTGGCTACGGTCGTATTTTAATCATGGGCGACTTCAACTGTGACTTATTGAAACCTGAGCGCTACGACTGCAGACAGTTAAAAAACATGTTTGACTCTTGCAATTTTACTATACTTCCACTGGACCCAACGCATCACACTGCCGAAGCTGAAACTCTATTAGACCTTATCATTGTAAATGATCCAGAAACTTCAGTCCACCACGGACAGCTTCCAGTCCCGGCCATATCTCGCCACGATTTAATCTATTGCGCCCTCTCAATAAGAGCACCAAAACCCGAACAAAAAATCATTACGTATAGAAACTTTCGAAATTTCAACGAAGCTAATTTTTTAGCTGATGTTTATTTGATACCTTGGCAATCTATACATACTCTAGAGTCTGTTGATGACATGGTAAATTCCCTAAATGAAATGATTTTGCAGTTATATGATAAGCACGCTCCAATCATTACCCGAAGGGTTAATAAGAAGCATCCCGTGCCTTGGATCACAAATGAGATCCTCAGGTTAATGGCTCAGCGGGACTCAGTCTTTCGCAGAGCCAGGAGAACTAGAGACGTGGGGCTAATGGCCCAATACCGTCAGCTCAGAAACCAAGTTAAGCAACAATTACGTAACTCTCGCCTTCATTACTTTCATAGGCTGTTTTCAGATAGAAAACAGGCTTCTTCTGTGCTATGGCGTAATTTAAAGAAGTTTGGTCTTGGAAAACAAGAACAGTCGAACACTGTATCTGTCCCGTTAAATGTATTGAATGATTATTTTTTATCAGCCTCTACAAATTTAAATAGCACAGTTATTCAGAACCATTTAAATGATTTAAAACTGCAATGCAATTTAAACAATGATTTTCCTGAATTTCGTTTCCGTACAATTTTGCAATCTGATGTCTTGAAAGCTATAAGACGAATTACGTCTGATGCTAATGGTGCTGACAATATCCCAATTTCTTTAATAAAACGGGTTTTGTTTGCTCTCCTCCCTACGGTAACTTTCATTTTTAATGCTTCTCTAAGAACAGGTATTTTCCCAGAAAAATGGAAGTCTGCTATAGTCCGTCCTTTGAATAAGATCTCATCCCCTAAACTTCCTCAAGATTATAGGCCGATCAGTATTCTTCCAGCTCTCTCTAAGGCACTCGAAAGAGTTGCCCACTCTCAAATATCCGATTTCCTCTCTCAAAACAATATTTTAAACGAATTTCAATCAGGTTTCCGGCAATCCTATAGCACTGAAACGGCTTTGCTAAAGATAACTGATGATATACGCCTTGCTATGGATCGTAGCCAATGTACAATCTTAACTTTATTTGATTTCAGCAAGGCTTTCGATACAGTCAATCATGAAATTCTTCTTACAAAACTCAAAATAATAGGTTTTTCTAATAGTTCATTATCCTGGATGAGATCATATCTTCATGGCCGAAAGCAGTGTGTGTCTCATGACAAAACTATGTCTGATTGGAGGCAGGTGCCTTGTGGTGTTCCTCAAGGATCAATACTTGGCCCTTTACTTTTTACTATCTACATAAACGACATCAGTTCAGTCTTACAACACGCCAAGTTTCATTCTTACGCTGATGACTTACAAATTTACGCTCACTTCAAAGTCAGTGTGGTGAATGAAACAATCACATCAATGAACGACGACATCAACAGAATTGTTGAGTGGGCAGCAAAGAATGGACTAAAACTTAACCCTGACAAAACCAAACCAATCATTATTGGCCACGCACGACAACTAAACCGACTTGACCAAAACTTTTTACCTCACATCACTGTGAATGGTACTGTATTGCCATACCAAAACAAAGTTAAAAGTCTTGGTTTGACGATACACAACACACTAGACTGGACTGACACGGTGGTTAACACTTGTAAAAGGGTGTTTGCCCACACACTGAAGAAGATGCAAAGACTTTTACCATTTCACATTAGACTTTTACTGATCAAGTCACTAGTGTTTCCCCACTTCAATTACTGTAATACCGTGGTTAATGATATGACCGTGGCTTTGGCAACAAAATTGCAACGAGCTCAAAATTACTGTAAAAGATTTTTGTATGATCTTCGACGAGATGATCACGTCACACCGTACTATGTAAATTCTTCTCTTTTAAAACTGTCTGACGTTAGAGAAATACGCATTATTAATATAACTCATTCGGCCATCAATCTCAAAATTCCAAATTATCTCGCGATCAATTTTAGATTTTTAAATGAAAGAGGTGCAAGAAATACCCG